GAGAAGATTGGACCCGTCGACTTCAGAATCAAACTTCCACCGCAGAACAAGGTCCACCCCATCTTCCATGCTTCAAAGCTTATCCCCTACCATGAAGACGAGATCGGCAACCACAACTCGGAGAAACCTGACCCGATTGAAGTTGAAGGCCACGATGAGTTTGAAGTCAAAAAGATTCTAGACTCTCGAGTCAACCGTGGATATGTGCAATACTTCGTCAAATAGGCAGGATATGATGTCTCTGAAGCGACTTGGGAATCTGTGCGCAATGTCAAATACGTCAAAGAACTACTCGACAAATTCCATGCCCTCCATCCGAACGCACCACAGCCGATCGCTCTCAACAACCCACGACCAGTTGCCCGGAAGTTTCAACGCAATATTTGGTTTGAACACTTCGCAGGAGCTCAGATCTTGAAGAGGGGGTAGTGTCACAGTTTTCTCGTGCCATGTGACCTGAGGGTCATGTGTACTGGGACAGATGCTCACCTTGACCGCAGACAACTCGTATCGGAAAGAAGAGAGGCCAGGATCGAACCCCAGACCTCATGACGGCCGGGAACGCCCATCCTCACTCACTGACAGGTGACTGATGTGATAGCAGGAGTGCTTACTCATTGGTAGGGGTCCGGACTCAGCACAACTCAGATATTAGTTGTAAGGTCACTATGAGGCAGGTCAGAGGGTAGGACATGAGGCAGAGAACTCTGACCAAACAATGGTCAACAGGTACCTGGTCTGTGCACCGATGTATTAGTATATATAGTAGGGAGTCTGAGGTAGGGAACCTCAGACTTGATCTTCTCGTTGATCACCCATCTCGTCTGTAGGTAGCTAGCAGCCCTACCTTCTCACTGCCCCTTCTAGTCTAGGGAATCTACTTCTTTGCATCATCTCTTGCTGTGTCACCTAGAGTTGCTTCACCCCTCAGCACCAACCCCACCACCAGTAAGCTTGTCCTTGTTTATCTGGTGGCACAGCTCGTTGGCTGTGACAGGGAGCCTCTATCGACTACAGGCCTCCTTATATATTCTGGGGCACCCACTGTATTAGGAAGGAGGGGGGAAACCGTTCAAAGTAGGGAGATATGAGGAGACTGTAAGGGAACGTGTCTGGTTGAGGCTGGACTCAATATAGTACATAGCCGAGGTCAGGGTCCTGTGATATAACTGAAAGGGGATAGAGGCAGGATAGGGTCTTGAGTCAGGGTCAGGGTTGGGTCATGTAACTGAAAAGGGAAAGGGTTGAGACAAGGGTTGAGGGCCGATTAGAGAAAAGTAATATAGCCAAAAAGGGAAAGGGTCAGGGTTGTACCCAGAGTCTGATCATGTAGACGAAAGGGGAAGTATTAGAGGGAAAGGGCTGAGTCTGGAAACATAGTTGTCAGGGGATGGAATGGGGGATGGTAGTGTACAGGCAGATGATGGAGAGATAGGAAGGTAAGCATGGATTGCCGAGGGGAGGGGAAGGGGATTGAGTGTACACAAAGGCAACAAGGGAGTAGTAGTCCAATAACGAAAAAGATGGGGAGGGGGGTGTACCAATGGTAATAGTGACAGTCAAATGATACTACTCAATGACCATACACAACTCCTGCTCCTTATTTCAGGAGAAATTCTGTGACTATCCATCAGCTGTCTATACCCGCCTCGAAGTGGTTCTGTTTCTGCAAGTAATCGTTGTTGAAATCTGTAGAATTCATACTCTAGTATTGGTTAGATGGTGTAGTGGTCACACCTCCCAGCACATATGGGATGACCCAGGTTCAATCCCCAGTCTGGCCAACTTTTCATTGTTTATCAGGTTATGAGCCCTGTGCTCTGACTGAAGTTTTGTGTTGACGTTTATCCCTGTGCGCACCCATCATCCCTCTCTGTTAACACTTGGTTCTGCCCATGCATCCCCTCCACTATCTCAAACTCTTGACTGTGCCTGCCTAGGCAACGGCAACGGTGTCACTGACCCTCAAGGGTTACCAAGGGTCAAGTGCTAAGGGTCAGATCAAGGGTCACCAGCCCCCAACCCTTGCCAAACCCTTGACCCGTGGTAAGGGTTACGGGTATAAGCGCTTGGTTAAGCGCTAAAAAACGTGTATGTATACACCTATAGATCTGCTCAATTATGAGCTGCTGTAGTGTAGTGGTTATTGGTTTTTGGGCAGCTGTGCTCAGACCGTGAGGTATTGGGTTCAATCCAGCCTGATGCCACTTCATTTCACCTTTGCTTTCTGTTCGGACCATTGAAATTAGCTATTGACAGCCTTAATGCTGTATCAAGCTTTAGATGGGCTGCTAACAGTTCGTTAGCTAGATAAGTGATGGGTAAACCCTGAGGTTGACCCATACCTGCCATACCCTTGGCACCCGGCACTTGCACCCTTGACCCGCTGTGACCCCTGGGTCACGGGTAAGGGTATTCCATGGATTGGATCAAGGGTCACATAGGTGACACCTGGGGGTAGACCCGTGCCATTGCCTATGCCTGCCAACACTGCTGCCACGGTGACTTTGCACAGTTGTGTCTGTGAGTGCTTGTAGTCTAGTTTCTAATCGTTAGCTGCAGTGGGCCTCAGAGGGGTCGCAATGGCCTAAGTCGAGCTCTGTAAGTCTTTTCATTGCAAGGAAACTGTGCTACACACCTAAGTCGAGCTCTGTAAGTCTTAAGGATACTCGAGTCAACCAGGCGCAGATGACGGCGCACAGAGCGCGTGGGAACTAGCTAACACGACCATACACTACGTGGCGCTGGAATGGCGCCAAACGGACCAGAAGTGCGTAAGGTAGACACTATTCTAGAGTGCAGTCAGATGATCTCTACAGAAATGGAGACTACTAGTGAAAGAAATGCGATATCTCTATGTGAACGAGAGTTGTGACTATACGAAAATTACCGTAGATAGCGGACAGTGCGAACTATGTATGGCGCGATGCGGGACTTGGTGCGATTAAAATTGACGGTGCTACAGCACTGACTCCAACAACTTGATAATATTGCTTGGACACTCTAGGTCATGGGGGCTCTTGTCTAGCTGATGCATTTGCAATGGCAGAAGTTCAACAGAGGTAAGACCAGTCTGGAACCCAGACATCATAAATGTGGCTTCTATCAAGTCAAAAGGTAACACTGGATGCACACCATGTGGGAGATAGAAAGGGCTAGAACCCGTAGATCACCATGTGGTTACACAATCTGCAAGGAAGGCCACCAAGAGAGGGGGACTGTTCTGTCGCATCTTAAACAGATTCACTTCAACAAAGAAGAATTGTGTTGTACACTGCAGAGATCTGCACTTTATCACAATAGATAAGAATGTAGATGATTCTAGTAGATGTAGCAAATGTTGGATGTCTTGTAAAGTTTTCTCTTGCTTATTTTCTAGAATAATTAGTGCGATGACCATCATCTCAGAAGTCTGTTCTTAAAGGGACACAGTTATCTGTAGGGCCAGGATTGACAAAGTGTCTATTCAGCCCTCCATAACTGCAACTTCCTTCTTCTCTACCTCTATGGGAGGCTGTCACAGTTTTCTCATGCTACATGACCTGGAGGTCATGTGCACCATGCCAGATGCTCATCTCAACCACTGACAACTTTTATTGGACATCAGAACACCATTGATTCATGCTCCAGACTCTGCAGAGGCCGGTGATGTTCACCAGCACTCATTGACAAGTACTCTGTGTCAGTGAGACTATGAGGCAAGGCATGAGTGAGGGAACTCTTTGATCAAACAATGGACGAATAGATACCTAGTCTGTGCACCATTGTACTAGTATATATAGCAGAGGGTCTGAGGCAGAGAACCTTGAACTTGATCCTCTCATTGATCCCCCATCTCTTCTATAGGTAGCTAACAGCTCTACCTTCTCACTACCCTATCTGTACAAACCACCTCTGCAAATTACATCTATTTAGTACAAACTAGCTCTTAACAGACACAGTAGTCAGATAGTTGAAAACAGTGCAAAATCAAGAGGTCCCCAAATATAATTGCACTGAATGCAAATTAGTGCAAAATAGTGCTATAGTAGACAAAAATAGTACTACAGTAGACATTGATAGCAGTGGATAGAGTGAGTCTATGATCTCTAACTAGTGCAGAAATGATTTATATGACCTCAAAATCATCTGTCTATAAGCTCTAGATGCATTAAAAGTGCTGGAAAAATATTTGGGAGAAGTGTTCTTAGCTAGTCTTGAACCCTCAACCTCAACCATGCTGTTTTGAAATGGTGCTCTATGCCACTGCACCACTAATACTCATATAGATCTTCTCCACAAATATTACTCATACCCATTGTTGCTCAACTTTGGTCAACTGATGACACCTTACCTTGAGTTCCATCTGTCAAAGCTCATATATATGATGTCTGAAGCTATGTATATGGTATAGAGTGTGCTATAGAGTACACTTTACAATATAAATACTGTGCTGGTAGCTTAATTATGTACATCATAATAAGTTCTGTGTTGATTGTGCCCTAAGAATAAGCCAGCTATCATGATTGTCTTATAGCTGTAGGGGTGTGTAATGCTTTAGTTAAAAACTATGAGGTATCAATAAAGGATTGTCATCTTACTTGAGTCTCCCCTAGATGAGTAGTGCTAAGATAGCACAAAATAGTATTACAGTAGTGCAAAATAGTCAAAATCAGAGGATCATGTTTATAGTAGTGATATAATAGTATCATGGTGGCACTAAGTGGCACTATCAAAAAAGTGATGGTGAAGAGTAGTTATATCTAGTACTATGTATGCTGATCAATACTTAGTTGCACTACTCAAAAAATACATCTAACAAGTAGTACTATTGCAGGTCTTATCTTTGCTAATATTTGCTAATTTAGATAAGATTATCTGAATAGTGATAATAGATGTCAATTCACAAAGGCTGTTTTTCTAGATGAACCCCTGCATCAGCAAGCTTGTTTTTATTTGTCTGGTGGCACAGCTTATTGGCTGTAACAGGGGCCTCCTAGATAGTGCATCTGGTCCACAATGCCTCTCAGCTGGAACATGTTTCAATTTGAAGTTAAAGAGCATAATGCCCCATGTCCATCCATTGAGAGTTGTTACCATTGGTACACCCCACCTCCCATCTTTTCGTTATCGGACTACTACTCCTTGTCACCTTTGCGTACACTCAACCTCCTTCCCTCTCTTTAGCAATCTATGCTTATCATTTTGTTCCCCTATCGTCTGCCTGTACACTACCATCCCCCATTCTGTCCCCTGACGGCTACGTTCCCGGACTCAGCCCTTTTCCTAATACTTGCCCTTTTGTCTGTATGACCGGACCCTGAGTACAGCCCTGACCCTTTCCTTTTTTGGCTATATTACTTTACCCTGACCCAGCCCCTGACCCTTGCCTCGACACTTTCCCTTTTTAGTTATATGACTCGACTCTGGCCTAGACTTAGGACCCTACCCTTCCTCTATCCCCTCTCAGTTATATTGTAGGACCCTGACTTAGGCTATGTACTATATGGAGTTTAGCCGTGTTCCCTTACAGCCTCTTCATATCTTCCTACTTTGGTCGGTTCCCTTTGCCTTCCTAATACGGTTGGTACCCCATAGTACATAAGGAGGCCTGTAGTCGGTAGAGACTCTCCACTTCTATTCTGTTCTTTGTTACCCTCCTGTACCCCTAGATCCCTCAATCTAGGGACTTGCACAATACTCTTCCTCCGTGTGCTACACTACATACTTGGATAAGTCCACGTGATAACTCTGGATAGACTTGTGTTAGTACTTCAGCATAACAAGAGTCACATTTGGCAGAAGGTCAGAATTGTTGAGTATGTCTTTGATATACTTGACATCAACTTCTAGTATGAGTCTCTTGACACTAATGGAGTACAACCGCCAATGCCGCAAGGCACATAAGCATCTATACAGTTCAAGCTTTGGTTGACTATACCTAGCCTCTCAATCATTGAATAGCAGAGATCTATATCTTGCAGGTCTATACCGACCATTTTCATCCTCTTGAGACAGAACGAATCCTACCACAATATTGCTTAAGTTGATGGACATATATACTAATTGATCTGAGGTGTAGTCAATTGGATGAAGCGCAGGTGCACTAGTGACTAGATGTTTGAGCTACTAAAACACGTCTTCTCATTGATTATCCCAGATGAACTCTTTATGCTTCCAAATGAGCTCAAATTAGGGATTGACATATCTCTAAGAACCCCTGTTTCCATATACGCACAGTGCCACAAAGTCCTAGAAACCCTCACACATCACTCACTGTTCTCAGTGGTGGCCAATTGAGGTAGTTTGCATACTTGCTTTTTTTAGTTAGCTGAGACTGTGGCACCTGCATAATTCTGTGCACATTCACAGCATGTTTCCATATGAATCATCTAACGCCAGAGTTCTATCTCAATATTTCTGGTCTACCATGTTCAGTATTGCTCCTTAGGACCTTTCATAGACAAGTTGTTGATGAATATGTTTGCCACATGAGGAATTTCATCTTGAAGGATGAATATTGTGCAGCTCTTAAACTCAGCCAGTGAGTTTGTATATCCCTGAAGCCAAGTGATTCATAGAAAGCCCAACAGAGTCATAAATGATGTCATATTCCTGCTCCGCGGGTCAATAATGCGCACATAATATCCTGAAAACAGATCAAATACTGTATAGCATTGATATACAGCAAACAGTTCAACAAAGTCATCAATGATTGGTGGGACACCTGCATCCCAAATACTGACTTTGTTAAGTGACTGCAGGTCATTGTTACACTGAAGTACTAACACAAGTCTATCCAGACTTATCACGCGGACTTATCCAAGTACGCAGTGTTATGTTTCCGGACTCAGCCCTTTTCCTAATACTTCCCCTTTTGTCTACATGATCGGACCCTGAGTACGACCCTGACCCTTTCCCTTTTGGTCTATATTACTTTACCCTGATCCAGACCTCAACCCTTGTCTCAACCCTTTCTCCTTTTGGTTATATGACCTGACCCTGACCCTGATCCAGGACCCTACCCTGCCTCTATCCCCTTTTGATTGTATAGTAGGACCCTGGCCTTGGCCCTATACTATACTTATCCCTCCCTGAATCCAGCCTCGACCAGACTTGTTCCCTTACAGTCTCCTCATACCTCCCTACTTTGGACAATTCCCTTCGCCTTTCTAATATAGTCGGTGCCCCAGAATATATAAGGAGGTCTGTAGCCAGTAGAGGCTCCCCACTTCTTTTCTCCTCTTTGTTACACACCTGTATCCCTATATCCCTCAATACTCTTCCCTTGTGTGCTACACTGCGTACTTGGATAAGTCCATGTGATAAGTCTGGATAGACTTGTGTTGGTACTTTGGCGTAACAGTTATGGTATCACTAGTAATTATAGCAGATATATCCAAGCAATCCATGCATATACGCATCTCTCTAACCTGTGAGAATCAAACCGTCAAAACTCATGCCCTTATCAACTCCAAAGCGGAAGGACTCTTCATTGACAAGTCCTTCACTACCAAGTTTTAGCTCCCTCTTACTCTGTTATTGACTTCAATTCCAGTCTACAATGTAGATGGCATGCTGAACTTGCAAGGATCTATCACCTATGCTGTCCACACAACTCTGAACACTGTGGGAGTTGACTATGACTCTCAACTGCTGTTAACTGCCCCATGCAACAAGACTGTCATCCTGGGGTTACCCTGGCTGCAGCAACAGAAGGCAGTCATCAAATAGGCACAGAACATGTTAGAGATTGCAGCAGCAGACCCAGAACCACCTATTAAGAGTCTGTGCCTCAATGAAGATGAAGTCCTCTTGGCCTACATTAGGGGCAAACCCATAACGGGGATCTTTCAAGACAACTTTGATTTACCACAGAACACCGGTACATTATCTCCCACAACCAAGCACCTCTCTCTCTCAACCGTATCTCACACTGGAAATTCCCCCAATGGAGGACCTTCCACTCTCACAGGGGCTCTGCTTCGATCAGAGCCAAAATGAACCCATTATAGGAAATGGCCCGCAAGTCAGCAACTCTGGACAAGATGCAGGATCTGGATGTTATGATTCCAGGTTACCTCTTCAAAAAAATCTTTGAGAAGAAGGCAGCTGTTACAATGAAGTACTAATACAAGTCTATCCAAACTTATCACATAAACTTATCCAAGTATGTGGTGTAGCACACAGAGGAGGGAGTATTGCACAAGTCCCTAGATTGAGTGAAATAGGGATACAGGAGGGTAACAAAGAGAAGAACAGAAGTGGGGAGCCTCTACCGACTACAGACCTCCTTCTATACTCTGAGGAACCGACCAAGTTAAAAAGGTGAAGAGGACTGTTTAAAGTAGAGAGGTATAGGGAGACCACAAGGGAATGAGTCTGGTCGAGGCTGGACTTAGGGAGGGATAAGTATAGTATAGGGCCGAGGCCAGGGTCCTGCTATATTATCAAAAGGGGATAGAGGCAGGGTAGGGTCCTGGGTCAGGGTCAGGGTCGGGTCATGTAACCAAAAGGAGAAAGGGTTGAGATAAGGGTCCAGGTCTGGGTCAGGGTAAGGAAATATAATTGAAAAAAGAAAGGGTCAAAGTCCCATTTAGGGTCTGGGCATATAGCCGAAACGGGAAGCATTAGGATGGGGGCCAGGTCTGAGAAAGTAGTCATTAGGGGGGCAGAAGGGGGAATGGTAGTGTACAGGCAGATGATAGGGAGATGAACGGTATGTATGGGTCACTGAGGGAAGTGGAAGGGGTTGAGTGTATACAAGGGTAATAAGGAAGTAGTAGTTTTATGCAAAAAGATGGGGGGGTGTACGAATGGTAATATTACTCCTGTTTCTAAGCACAATTGTCCTGATTGTCCATCTCTATACCCTCCTCCATAGTTTCTGATAGCAAACAGATTTGTGGGGAAATATGAAATCCCACATTGATTCTAGGGTGGTTTGCAGGGAGCTAGCAGTTGGCCGCCAGGTAGTAGTAGCATGGCAATGGAGAGGAAGGTCGGCTTGGAGAAAGGGGGTCGGCTGGAGTGGAAGGGTTGAGAGTTGTCATTGTTAGGGCTCTTACATGTGACTGGGGGCATAGTGTCAGGTAAGGAGCTGTGCAACTGTAGGAAGCCGTCTGTCACGGTGACTAGACATGTAGACCCGGGTTGATGTTTGGTGACAACTCTGTAGGTGAGTGGCAAAGTGTTAAGACTGTGCCACCGGAGTTCCGGAGTTCCAGGGATCAGAGTCAGGACTGGGCAGACATGGGGAGAGGACTTCGGTGAAGCTATTGGCAACGCCCTGAGGATCTCGAGGGTGTCCTCGATTATGAAGTTGGAGGTCAGACGGAGGACGGAGCAGAGAGCGGACAAAGAACGGACGGAGACGGGAAAAATAGATTGCAGTAAGGTAACAGAGAGCATAGCAGACAGGGAGTGAGGTAATGAGATATCCGAACTGAGGAACACTGTACTAAGTCCAGGGGTTTATAACTGTGAAGCCGGTGTCCCTTAAGTCTGAATTGGAGATATCGGAGGAGGAGGTCTGACCAGAGTTGGCGGAACACCGACACTAAGTGGAGCTGTGATGTAAGTGGCATTAGACACTGATATGGAAAAACGGACATTCCAGCGGAGGCGGAGCAGACACTCAGAAAACCACATGGCCCCCATCGGAGACCGGAAAGGGGATGAAAACTAGCACATAAGTAACTACTTGTAAGCAAGTCCGGAGGTTCGACAGAGTTAGTGTGCTGTCTGACGGAGTTCCGGAGGGACTTAGGCATGGGGTGTAACAGTATCCCCCCTTAGGTCCGAGCCCCCGAGGCCTATAGTATTGTACAAAGTTCAGAGTCAGGGGTCCAGACCAGATCACGTGTGGAATTCGAGGAAGTTGAAACGGAGGATGTGGGAAAGGGAACGGAAAAAGAAGCAAGTTTGATCGGCGATGTTTAGGGCAAGCAGAGTTGGGGAGCGGAGAATCTATAAAGGTTGGGGTGCTGCAGGCGTCGCCTAACCCCACCATACCCATTGCCCCCCTGTTTTTTTTTCTAAGTCGTACACCGTGCCTGGAACTCCGCCTATCGAAAAGTAGCAGCAGCTGCCTGCCCAGCTCACAGCGGTGCGATAGCAAATCTGGGAGGACGAGGAGCGTGTGGAGCGGGAGAAGGCGGAGCAGGAGCAGCGGGCAAGGGAGGAGGTGGAGCTGCTGGAGCAGGAGAGGGCGTGACTGCAGAAGGAGCTGGGGGAGCGGCAGCGGGCGGAGAAGGAGCGGGCCCAGAAGCCTGCATTGGGGCATGTGGAGTCCCCCTGGAGTTTCCGGAGGCCGGTCCGAGCAAGCACCACCGCGACAATAATGACAACAAGATCGTCGACATCACGCTCAAGCGGAAATGGGCTCGGACGGAGATGGTGTGGGCTCTGGCCAAGTAAGTCCGGAGTTCTGCCACCGGAGTTGTACTGACTTGTCTAGCAGAAAAACTTGCGCCGAGTGCAAGGAGAAGAGAATCGCCTGTCTCATCTCTGTGGACCGTTCATGTGCCCGGGCCTGCCAGGCCTGTGCGAGGTCCAAGACCAAGTGCACCGGGGGCCAGCGGGCGGACAAGACTCCCGCCGTCGTCATCTCCAATGACGAGGCCTTGGTGACCCCTGCCGGTCCGTCCACCCCCCGCAAGAAGGCGGCCCCAGCGGAGAAGCCAGTGGAGAAGACAGGGCCTGCGCCCGGGTCCTCGTCCAAGGTCCGGGGGAAGAAGTGAGAGACGACAGCAGAGCAGGAGGAGAGGCTGGAGGCAGAGCGGAAGAAGGAGGAATTCGAGCGGAAGGAGAAAGAGATCAACATGGCCACAGCCCCCATGGAGGCCAATCTCCCCTTCAGCCGGCATGCACGGAGGGAGATCACAGTCCTCAAGACCCTCTGCTATGCCATGTCGGAGATCTGGCAGTTCCAAGAGGAGTTGAAGGAGCTCCAGCGCAAGATGTGCCTTACCCACTGTCGCGGCGACTAGGCGCGGAGACTCGGGTCGACGTTCGGCGACAAACCCGTAGGTGAGCGGCAAGGAGGCGAAAGAGAAAGAGAGAGAGGGAGAGGGATAAATGTGACAGAAAACTCGACGGGGACAGAGTGGAGGTCGGCACGAGGGCACAAGACCTACAAAAGCTAGTCTTCATGCAGACAGCGGCAGACTAGTCTCAATGACCAAGTTATACATTAGCACTCGAGGGAAAATACAGCGCTATGGTCGCTCACCTAGTCCTAATGACCAAGAGGTCAAGATGGGGACTAGGGAGCGCCTAAGGGGGTCCTTATATACTAGAGGGGCTGCTTAGCAACCAAGGACAAGGCACGAGAGCGAGGCAGCGAAGATGACAAAGAGAGAACAAAGGGCGAGAAAGAAAAGGCAATGGCATGGCGATCACAGGAACGTAGCATGCAGCTGTGGGAGCATATCTACAGTGTCTAAACTGGGATGGGCTAGAAAAGGAAATGGTCCGAAAATGGAAGGTGGGCGTCAAAGGGAAGGGGATGAGCAGCAAAAAGGGGCACCTGTCCAACGTCCGTGACACTCACGGCGCAATCTCTGACCTAGTTCGGAGCAAGGAGGGGATCTACCAGGAGTACTTTGGTGGAATCACCGATCTCCTGGAGAGTGAGCCCTCGAACGATGAGGGGCACTTAGAGTCGGACCTGGACTGGGCGGAGATGGAGGAGTTTGACATGGCGGAGCCAGATTGGGAGCCGGGATCAGAGGCAGAGCAGGGTCGGGAGCAGGAAGCGGAGAAGGGGCCGGAGCAGGCGCAGGAGTAGGGATTCGGACACGGACACGGACACGGACACGGACACGGACACGGACGTGGACATAGATAGATAGACCCCTGTAAAGTGGTAATGGGTCAATCTTTTTCTTGTCAAGTACCCACATACCTCAACACCTGGATATGGGGAGTTAGCCAGAGAGGACAGAATTCCGGAGTACTTAGCAATTCAGAGTTCCCATAGGGGTCCGGGTTTGTCCGGATAAGCGGAGTGGAAGTCCGAGACGAGTTCCTGTGCATGTCCGAGTTCCATGGCGAGGATCCAGGAGATCTCCTCATCAGTTCCCTCATACCCGGACCATCAGACTTTGTACAGGAGCTGGCACTTCCGTCGGTGTTTGTCCAACTTGGAGTCGAGGATCTCCGCAACCTCATATTCGAGTTCTCTGTTGACCTCGACCGGAGGTGGTGGAGTTTGCACTCGGCCCGCGATGGTGCTTGGGGTTGCGGGCTCCAGCTGGGAGACGTGGAAGACGGGGTGCACTGCTCGCATGAAGTCTGAAAGCCGGAGGGTGAAGGAATGTGATCCAACTTGAGCAATAATGGGGAAACGACCAAGGAACTTTTCAGAGAGCTTCTTGGAGGGGCGAGTGGAGCGGATGTGCTGCGCACGGACATAGGCCAGGTCTCCGATGCGGAAGTCCGGAGCTGGCAATTGGTGCTTGTTCGCCTGGACTTGGTAGCGGGCTTGAGCCTCGGAAATGTGCTGTCAGAGTTCTGCCTGGAGCTCGTCCAGATCGACGGCAAACTCGAGTGCTCAGCCGGAGGTGATGTCATGCTCCGGGTGGACCGTGAGGCTGGAGTGATATCCCTTGTTAGCGAAGAATGGAGAGATTCTGGTGGTCGCATTCGGAGCATTGTTGTACGCAAATTCTGCGAGCGGAAGGAGGCAGGCCCAGTTGTCCTGCTGGTAGTTGCAGTAGATCTGGAGATACTGTTTGAGGGTTTGGTTAACACATTCTGTCTGGCCATCGCCTTCGGAATGGTACCCGGAGATGAAGTGGAGGTTCATGTCAAGGATAGTTCCGAGGGAGTGGAAGAAGTGGGACACAAGTTCCGAGCCACGGTCAGAGGTGATGTGGGACGGAACTCCGTGCTTGGAGAAGACGTGCTTAAGGAACAGTTCCGCGAGCTCCGGAGCGTCGAGTGTATTGTGCGTCGGGATGAAGATGGCCTGTTTGGAGAGCCGGTCGACGACAACCAGGATGTCTGTGAAACCGTCAGAGTTTGGCAGTTGCTCGATGAGGTCCATGGAGATGGAGTTCCATGGACACTCCGGGATCGGGAGCTGCTTGAGGGTTCAGTAGGGAAGGTGACAGAGAGCTTTGGATCGCGCGCAGGTGGTACAGGACTTGCAGTAGTCTTGGACAAAGAGTTGGAGTCCAGGCCAGGAGTATTCTTGGAGGACCAGGGCCTGGGTCTTGTTCTGGCCCCAGTGTCTGGCGGTTGGGTAATCGTGGTAGGCCCGGAGGACTCAGAGACAGAGGTCTTCAGAGTCCGGGATGTAGATTTGGCCATTGAGCCGGAAGAACCCTTTTTTGTCCTTGGACCATGGGGGGTTACCTTTGGAGGCCAACTTGATGGCTGTGGCGAGTTCTGGAGACGGGTTATTGGAGTTCTGGGCTGCTCAGACGTCGGAATGCAGTTTCTCGGCGTTGAAAAGGACGGAGGCTCAGAGGACCAGTTCTCAGAGGTACATCACTTGGAGAGACATAGCGAGTTGCTCCTGGGTGAACACCAGCTGGAAGTTGTGTGGGTTGACAGCGAAGTAGTTGCTATCTCTTCCTTTTGGGTAGACATCCCAATGGCAGGTGAGTGCGTCGGGTTTGACCCCCAGTTTTCCGCGGGCAGAACCGGATTACCAGGTTGAACTGCAATAGGAATTCTGACCACCGAGCCTGGCGTCAGATTAGCATCTTGGAGGTCACGAAGTACTCTAGGTTCTTGTGATTGGTGACCACGTCGATCAAAGTTCCAGAGCCTTCAAGATAGTGCCACCAGGTCTGGAAGGCTTTATAGATTGCCAGGAGTTCCTTATTGTGCGTGTCGTAGTTCAGCTCCGCGCCGGTCAACATCTGGGAGTGGAAAGCGACGGGGTGGAGTTCGCTGGAGTCAGTGGTGATAGAGAGAATCCCAGTGATCGCATAGTCCGAGGTGTCCGTTTTGACAGTGATTTGTCGGTCCGGTTCCCAGTGGTGAAGTACCCGGGCGGAGGTGACGGCCTGCTTCAAGGCGTTGAAGGCTTTTCGGGCATTGTCGGAGAAGTTCCACGGGATGGATTTCCGAGTAAGCCAAGTCAGCGGGAGGACAATCTCGGAGTAGTTGTGGATGAACCTCCGGTAGAAGTTCGCGAAGTCTAAGAATGACTGGATATTGCAGATCTTCCGGGGTTCTGGCCAATCCATGATTGCCTTGATCTTGGAGTTGGACATGGTGAGACCTTTGGAGGAGAGGATATATCCAAGGTACTTCACAGTGTCCACGTGGAATTCACACTTATCCGCACAGGTGTAGAGCTGGTGCTTCCTGAGACATCGGAGTACTTCTCGGACATGTTTCCGGTGGTCTGCCGGATTGTCAGAGTAGATGAGGATATCATTGAGGTAGACCACTACCCAGACGTCTAGCAAGTCCACGAAGACCTTGTTAACGAAGTGTTGAAATGCTGCGGGGGCATTGGAAAGTCCGAACGGCTTTACGAGCCATTCAAATGAGCCGTAACAAGTCCGGAAGGCGGTCTTCCACTCATCTCCGGATGCAATTTGGACCAGGTTGTACGCATGCCGGAGGTTGATCTTCATGTAGATTCGAGCCTTCCACAGAGAAACCAGGAGGTCGGAGATCAGCGGGAGCGGGTAACGGTCCTTCCAGGTGATCTTGTTGAGCCCACGGTAATCGACGCAGAGTCGGAGAGAGCCATCCTTTTTCCTAACAAAGAGGACTGGAGCTCCGTATGGAGAATTGGTCGGGCGGATGAAACTGGAGCGGAGGTTCTCGTCGAAGTACTCTCGGAGGGCGTCCAGTTCCAGCTGTGAGAGGGAGTAGATAGGACCAAGCGGAGGTACCACACCTTCCTCGAGGGTGATCTTGAGGTCGTGGGGGCGGTGCTCCGGAAGAGTATTGGCCTTGGTCTTGCTGAAAATGTCCATAAACTCGTGGTACTCCTCCAGAACATTGGAGAGGCCCAGGATGGAGTCGGAGGTGGCAGAGTTCCTGGCGAGAACCTCGGCCACTGAAGCGGAGAATAGATTGAGCGTGAAGCTCTCAGATTCCGGCAGCTTGCAAGCCCAGGCGGATGCCGCGGTGTTCACAAGGGAGACCTGTGGGGCGGAGGACGAAAGCAAGGACTCTGGAGGTGCCGGAGGTGGAGACCAGAGTTTGGGATCATCGGGTACAGAGGCGGAGGAATGTTCCCCCAGCGCAGTTCGAAATTGAATGCGGTCTCTCTTCTAGTCAATCAACGGATTGTAAGCAGAGAGCCAGCTGTATCCCAGAACGGCGGAGACAGATTTGTCCAGTGGAGTAACATAGAAATCTACGGACATAATTTCCCCGGAGGTGAACTGCAGAGCAAGCAAAACTTCCCAGGTGATTATCTGGTTGAAAGACCCATTGAATAGTCAGAGAGCGATTGGAGAAACGGAATGGTACAGAAGTCCGAAAGTGTCAATAAATTCAGAGTCTAAGGAACAATGAGTGGAACTGCTATCGACCAGGGCCTTGAAAGGCTTTGGAACAGATTCGGAGTACAGGTCGAAAACAAGGGACGAGGGATCAGAAAGAGCGGATGTGTTTAGACGAACTTGGATCTCCGTGCCGGCGCTGTCAACGCAGTTCCCGCTAGGCACAGAGTTGGGGGAACTGCGGACTAGTTTTTTGCTCCTTCCGGGGCCGAAGAGTCGGGCCCCGGAGTTGGGTCGGCTTGGGCTGCTCTGCCTTTTGCCGACGGAGTGGATTTCTTAGGACAAGTGTTTGTGGAGTGCCCGGCTCCTCCACAGAAGAGGCAGAGGTCTCCTGCCAGGCGGTGTTGCCGCTCCTCCGGGGTAAGCTTCCCATCCTTCCTGAGCTTATCCGCATATGGCTTCGGAGCAGACTTGTCCGTGGATTTGGGCTTTGAGTTGGACTTCGGAGTAGATCCAGAGGCGCTGGACTTGCCGTCAGAGGACTTCTGGGGCGCGCGAGGAGTCAACTGGGAGTTCGAAGAGGAGCGGGGTTCGGACTGAGAGGTTCTGGAGCCTGACTTGGAACTGGACTTGGAGGGACCAGAGGTTTCACGGTTATGTTCAGCCTTTCGTTCCCAGTACCGGTGGTCCAGGCTCTGGGCGAGGATGCAGAGGTCGGAGAGGTTGTCAGGTTTTCCTATCTCGGAGATGCAGTCCCTGAGCTGATCCAGAAGTCCGCGGTAGAACTGGTATCGGAGAGTGTCATGGCCCCAGCGGACTTGTGTAGTGAGGTGGCTGAACTGGGTGATGTACTTGGCAATCCGCTGGTTATCCCCCATACAGAGATTCTCCAGCTTGTGTTCTGTGGTGCTGGTGGTACTGTAAGGTCTGAAGTTCGTTCAGAGCTCCTCCTAGAATGCCTTGTAGTCCGACATGAACACCGGAGGCACTCTGGAGGGGTTCTCTAGGATATAAGGTTCGAACCACTGGAGGGCGGTGCCCTTGAGGAAAGAGATGGCGTAGGTGACCTTCGTTTCGTCCGTGTTGAAAGTCTAAGGTCGGGCCTTGAAGACCAACTCCAGCTGCGTGAAGAATGACCGGAGCTTGGCGGGCTCCGACCCATCAAATTGGTCTGGTTCACAAACGTTACCGCACTCTGAGGACAGTGCCATTTGGTTGAAGTTCGGGGCGGCCAGAATCTGGAGCGTTTGAGCTAGGAGGCTGATAGCCTGCACTAAGTCTGCAGTCGGGGTCGATGCTGCTTGCAAAGTTGTCGTCAGATTTATGGGCAGGTTTTCCACAGGTCCGGCTAGGGGTTGTCTCATGAACGTGGGAATGACGAAGGGGTTATCCGGAGAATGTCAGGGAAGAGGGACGGATGTTGGGTGTGGAGTGGTGGGCAAGGATCAGGTCATAACGCGATGCTGGGTCAGAGATTCCAAAGAGAAAGTCCGAGGTGAGTTGGTAGCGCGTCGCGCTGTGAACCCCCTGAAGGTTTCGTCAGGGTTAGTCATCGGGATCTCAGTTTGAGTTCAGATATACTGTTAGAGCTGGGCCACCAGAGATCGGAGTCGGGACCAGGTGGACACAGGGGGAGGACTTCGGTGAAGTTATTAGCAACGCCCTGAGGATCCCGAGGGTGTCCTCAATTTCGGAGTGGGAGGTTGGACAGAGAGCAGACGGAGAATGGACGGAGAACGGACGGAGACGGAAGGAATAGATTGCAGTAAGATAACAGCGAGCGTAACAGACAGGGAGTGTGGTAACAAGATATCCAAACTGAGGAATGCCGTACTAAGTCCAGAGGTTTATATACTACGAAGCCGGTGTCCCTTAAGTCCGAATCAGAGATATCGGAGGAGGAGGTCCTACTGGAGTTGGCAGAACACCGAAGCTAGGTGGAGTTGTGATGTAAGTGGTGTCAGGCACTGATATGGAAAAACGGACATTCCAGCAGAGATAGAGCGCATCTGTAAAAACCACCTTTGCGAATTACACCTATTCAGCACAAATTAGCTCTTAATAGACACAGTAGTTGAATAGTGAAAAATAGTGCAAAATCGAGAGGTCCCCAAAAATAATTGCACTATTTTGCACTATCAGTGCAAATTCGTGCAAAATAGCATTATAGTAGACGGAAATAGTGCTACAGTAGACGTTGATAGTAGTGGATAGAGTGGGTCCATAATTTTTGACTAGTGTAGAAATGCTTAATATGACCTCAAAACCATCTGTTTATAAGCCTCAGATGCATTTAAAGTGCTGGAAAAATATGTCAAAAAAACTTTCTCAGCCAGTCTTGAACCCTCAACCTCACCTTTATATGACACTTGTTCCGAGGTGGTGCTCTATACCACTGCACCACCAGAGATTATATAAACCCTCTTCACAAGTACTATATATATTCATTTCTGCTAGACTTAGACAAAGTGGTGACACCTCACCTTGAAATTCACCTGCTGAGGCTTGCA